GCTGCGCCAGCCGGGCTCCAGGGCAGCGGGCGAGCGCGGGACAGGCGGAGGGTCGGCCGGGCCGCACCCCTCGGCACTCACCATGGCGACTCCCCGGAGCCTGCAGCCAGCAGCACCCACCCGCGCGGAGCCTCCGCGGTCAGGTGACGCTGCGGCCCCTCCAAGCCCCGCCCCGCCGCCTCCGTCCGCTCCCGGCTCCGGGATTGGCCGGCTTCAAGGAACCAAGTCTCGCGTGTTTAGTGGCCGTCGCTGCTCTTCGCCGGGTTGAGGGGTCTGGGCGGCAGCCAGCCTCACTGTGTGGGAGGGGCCGGACGTGTGGAGGAACGGGAATTGCTGGGTCGCGGGGAGGACGCGGCTGGGGTAGGCAGCATTTGACCAGCTTGTGTCTGAGGGGGAAGAAGAAGGAGCTCTTTGAGCGCGCATGTAAGAGCGTGCATGCGTGGTGCGCGTGCGCATAAAGCATAACAGGATTGGGCTGGAAGGCGCCCCACCTTCCTGTCTCCGCCAATCCAAATGCACTGGGGGGGTGAGACCTCGCCCTGACTGGCCGGCTGAGAGCTTGCGCGCGGGTTTCGTAGAGTCGCAGTGGCTGTTCGGCGCCATGGAGTCAGGATTGATCCGGCCTTTAGCCCAGCGTCTGGGCGTCGCCGAGCCCAGGGTGCTGAGGTGAGTGAGACAGCGCCAGCCTCGGCGGCCTGGGCCTCCTCAGGCGAGGCCCGCGCGACCGGCAACGCGGGGGTGCGAGGGGACGCGGGAGCCCAGCGGTATCAGGCCCTGAGGGAGACCGGCGCGTGGGTTTGTGTGAGGAGGTGTAGAAGGGCGGCTGCAGGTCCCTCAGCACAGCTGGTTCAGTCAAGGATGGAGGCGGTGAACTGTGGGTCGTGCCGCGAGTCTCTACAGCTGTGAGCAAACTGTGGGTATGGGGCACAGGTCCGGTCTAGAAGGCGGGTACCGCTCAGGAAATGCAGTGATGCTCCACGGTCGCGGCTGGGCGGGCCTGGCGCTACCTACAGCCTCTGAGGGGCGGGGCCGGCTCTACCTACAGTCGCTGCGGGGCGGGGCCGGGTGCTGCCTACGGCCTCTAAGGGGCGGGGCCGACTCTACCTACAGCAGCTGCAGGGCGGGGCCAGGTGCTACCTGCAGCCTCGGAAGGGCGGGGCGAGGCCGGCTCTACCTACCGACACTGCGGGGCGGGGCCGGGTGCTGCCTGGAGCCTCGGGGGGCGGGGCGGGGCCTGGCGCTACCTACAGCCTCCGAGGGGCGGGGCGGGGCCGGGGCTGGGCGTTACCTACTGCCTCCGAGGAGTGGGGCGGGGCTCTACCTACAGCCGCTACGGAGTGGGGCCGGGCGCCAGCTGGTACTGCCTGTGATTAAAAATACAGCAGCAATACTCACTGCTCCTGAGGCCTCGTTGATAGACGGGCCCTCTAAGCCGAAAAGGTAGCTTGGGCAAAAAAGCCGTAACGGGGACAGGGTCTTTGATCGGAAACACTGCTGCCTATAGCCAAAGCACAGCGAGCAGGACCGTGTCCCGCCTCCGTGGTTAGCTGGAGGAGGGAGGTAAAGGCTGGGGGTAAGGTCTGGGCTCAGTGGTCATTCTTTAAGTGCTGTTTCCAGAACGCTGCATCTGTAGCTTCCAGGCATTTGTTTGACATGCAGATTTGTGGGCCGTGCTAGCTAACTCTGGGAATGGGACCCAGGAATCTCTGCACCAGCACCCGAGGTGGTTGTTCCAATGGTTGGAGAACCACTGATTTGAGAGGAAGGTAAACAGAAGGAATTTTAGCTGACCCACCTGCCTGTGGTAGTTCATGCAGGTTTCTGGAATGACAGGAGGATAGAAGGGTTGTTTTGAAGGCGTTGAAGAGCGAGCTTCTGCATGAAAATACTTGAACACAGCCATATTCAGAGGACTGCTTCTGTCTCACTGGAACCTTCCCCTCCCCTCGTGGGTGTGCAGTCCAATCTCTGCTGTAAATAACTTGCACAGAAGTTAGGCCCAGAATGAAGTCCCCCAGGTGGTGGTCATTGTTGGGCCAATTTCTGGAAGAGCTTTAGTGAACCCATTGTCTTGTACCCAGGAAAGCAGAGGAATTCTTGAGGTTGTCCCATGTGAAGTGCGTTGGCCTGTCTGCACGTACCACGGAAACCAGCAACGCAGTCATGTGCCTGGACCTCGCGTCTTCCTGTATGACCTGCCCTTTGGACAGGGTAAGCAGGGTCCACTGAATGTCTGAATAATCCAGTTGAACGCTGATGCTTTATTATTCATTTTAATTTCTGATTGGCCTAGACCCTATTCTAAACTATTTAGAAATTCACTGGCAGAGCTCATGTCATTGTTTTAAATGAACTGTAGAACCATTTCTCAAATTAAGAGGGGAACAATTTTGCAACATTTTCTTTGCTCATTACCGCCATTTTTCCTCATCCCTCAGAAATGAGTGTTCCGATGAACCTTTTGTAAGCTGAAGTGGCATCGAACAAAGACATAAATTATTTGGAAAAATGTTTGTGTTCCCAACCAAATAACACAGCAAATCTACAGTCACACTAGCATTCAGTAAATGCAGGGTAAACACTCAGCTTATATAAAGTAACCCCTGGGGGAGAAGTGGTGCCACTCTCGGGCTCCTAGGTGGGCATGCTGCCTCAGAACACTTGATGACAAAATAACTATTTTCACTTTTTACCTCTTGCTATAGAAGTGAAAATCCTCTTCATTTTTCTTTCTTTTTTGTTACTTTTTATTGTAGTAATGTTGGTTTACAAAACTATATGACTCAGAGGTATAGGTTCACACATTTACAAATGTATGTTACAATACAATTTCCAACACCAAAGCACCTGTGACCCTTGACCATTGTGCTACTCTCCCCACTCTCCCCTCTGGTAGCCTCAATTCTACAGTCATATTTCTAGAGTTTGTTATGAGTTTTGTCTGTCCTTTGTTTTGGTCTCTATGTTCCACATGAGTGAATTCACCCATTGTGACATTTCTTTCAATTACTGAAAACAAATACTAATGTATGTCTTTCATAAAGGCTAAGTGACATAATTAAACTTTGGACAAGCAAGGAATATCTGTATATAGTTTCCTTGAATCCATTGTCTATGCTGCCACTAACATCAGCCTTCTAAAGTGTATACTTAAAAAAAATTATGTATGTTTTACCTCTAGTATCACAGTGGTTGAGAACACAAGCTATGGAATCAGGCAGAGTCATGTTGGGTCCAAATCTCAACACCAACAGTTAACTCTGTGAGCCTCCAGTTTTCTCATCCATGTAGTAAAGATAAGAAAATCCATTTCACTGGATCGTTTTGCAGTTGAACGTATACTATATGTAACACTTAACACAATACCTGTAATGTGGTACACTCACTAAATAGTGACATTGAAAACATTGTTGGTTCGCCATCAAAATCAACAGCCTCTCTTAAACCCTGACCTCACACTACACTGTGCACTTAGGCCACTTTTATGACTATGACTTTTTGAATGCACCAACTTTTTAAGCCTCTATTTGTCTTATTGATCCTGCCTTGCTGTGGCATCTTTTATGAGGGTTTCTTTGACTCTCCCTAGCCAAGTTGGTTTCTCTCTTTTCTCCTTTTTTTTTTCCACTCACTCACCCACCCAACTCCCACTTCTCACTTTCTTTTCCCAGTGAATTGCACATTAGACCTTTGCTTTTTTAAAAAAGAAAAAAAGGGGCACTCTGTGGTGGTGCAACTGGTTAGCTGCAGCTGCTTCAATGCAAGTTTGATCCCCTGCCCAGAGGTGATCCACACCGCGTGGCAGACCTCTCCTATCTTACCTGCTGCTCGCCTCAGCAGTGTACTTCATCAATCTGCCTGTTCTGCTCCCTGCTCTGTCTCTGGTGAATCCTCTCACTGCCCCTGCACCTCTGGCCTGTACCCCAGTTCTGTATGCATAAATAAATAAGTTTTAAATAAGTAAAGATAGAGAGAAGAAACGATGACTATTGTGCATATCTCCTTTATGTTTTGTTCATGGTTTGGCCATAATAACACTATGTTGTATTTTTTTGAAGGCTTTATTTATTTATGCATATAAGAACTGGGATACAGGCTAGAGGTGTGGGGTGGGGAGGAGAGAGGGAGGGAATTCACCAGAGACAGAGTGGGGAGCAGAATAGGCAGACTGAAGTACACTGCTGAGGGGAGCACAGGCAAGAAAGGAGAAGTCTTCTGTGCCTTGTGGGTCAGCTCCCTGCCCAGGGATGGAACTCATGCTGTAGTGGCTATGGATAGCTTCATAGTGCTGCACTTAAACCCATTGCACCACCAGGAGGGCCCTCCTTTTAAATGTTTAAAAGCTATTACTTCTTTTCTAAAGTATGAGCTTTTTGAGAGCAGTGCTTAACTGTCTGACATGATTCCTGATTTTTTCTAAGTGAAACTAACCCTTTAAGTATATTGTTACCACAAAGTTAATTTTGAAAGTTGACTTACTGTTTCAGTACACTAACATGTAGAATTTATAATTTTTATGATTTGTGTTTTTCCTTTCAAAGGCTTATTTAATTAAACTTTCTGGCTTGAACAAGAAGACATATCAGAGCTGTCTTAAATCTTTTGAGTGTTTACTGGGCCTGAATGCAAGTATTGGAATAAGAGATCTAGCTGTGCAATTTAGCTGTACAGAAGCAGTGAGCATTGCTTCAAAGATTCTGCAAAGGTATGAGGCATAAAGAACCTTCATTAAAAATGTAAACTGAAAAAAAAAAATGTAAACTGATGCATAAAGCAAAATTTTCCAATGTTCTCTTCATTTTCAGTATTAAAAATGACTAATATGTAAGTGACAGGATGCATGTCCCATGCATTGAATAGCTTTCTAGTTCTGATTTGTATCTTCAGTTCCTTTGAAATATGTTCTAACAAATAATTCTGCAACCATTGCTTCCTCTTAGCTATGAGTCCAGTCTTCCACAAACACAACAAGTGGATCTTGACTTATCAAGGCCGCTTTTCACTACAGCTGCACTACTTTCAGCATGCAAGTAAGTGCACCTTTTAACAAAAGTCATCACTTACTACATTTTTCATTACACCAAAATACTTCTAATTTAATTGTTTTCAACTCAGAGCATATTTATTTTCTTATATAAATGATATTAGGAGTAGTGACTGAGTAACCAGATTCTCATTTTATGCCTCAGTACAACTGACACTTGGGTCTTGTATTTCCAGAAGTCCATTTGCCAAGTAACAGCCATTAATATAAGTTGGGTATTCTGATTTCAGGTTCTCCTCTAATAAGTGATTAAGTCTGTTATTAAAACACTGGTTGGTTGTGATTTTCTAGTCAAATTTTTTTTTTAAGATTTATTCATTTTGTGCATACAGAACTGGGGTACAGGCCAGAGGCTCAGGGGCGGCGAGAGGCTTCACCAGAGACAGAGTGGGGAGCAGAACAG